TTATAAGTTACCACTTACTCTGGCTTCATTCATCTGGAAATTATGTGTAATCAATAAGGCCAGTTTTAATGTCATCTCTTCAAGGGAAACCTTTTCCCCACCTCCTTCTTAAGAGTTGACTAGTAGAAAGACTTATTACTTTCCTCTGCTCTCAAAGCACTTCAGTGTGTGTAAAACAGTGCTTGGCACATTGTGTTGTTGTGTGCTATTGAGTCGGTTTCAACTCACAGTGACGCTGTATAGGGTTTCTGAGGAGCAGCTGGTGAGTTTGAACCACTGACCTTGCTGTTCAAACGGACCTTGAAGTCATGTGCTTATCCTACTGTGCCACACCAGGACTCATGGTAAGCACCTAATAAATATTAACTATGTCATTAAAGGAGCTCTGATAGTGTAGTGGTTACAGATCGGGCTGTGAGCCGCAAGGTCAGCAGTTCAAAACTACCAGCTGTTCCGCGGGAGAAAGATGAGGCTTTCTGCTCCCGTAAAGATTTACAGCCTCAGAAACCCTGTACAGGGTCGCTATGAGTCAGAACCGACTCCACGGCACATAACATGTCATTAAAAGGCATGATAAGTATGTTTATAAAAATGAAGTGCTAAACTAATTTATGTGATTGTTACACACAGTTTAGAATTTTGTATTTTAAAATATATGTAGTCTAAAGCTGTGACGCTGTATTGCAAGGTTGGTTTGCACCATGAAGTCGGTGGCTCAAGCTCATCAGCTGCTCCTCGGAAACCCTATTAGAGGTTCACTGTTGGAAGTGACTCCACACTTACCAACAACACAGGTACTTTTGGCCCTCAAGGAACTTGCAGTCTACGGTAGTACCCAATTCCTGCTCTAATGGTAGAAGGTGTTTTGATAATAACACAAGGAGCCAATACAAAGTTTTGTGGGGTAGAATTTGAAGTAAAAAAGAGCACTTCAGTGTATTTAACATTAGGATGAGTTGTTTATGGGCCCTGTTCCCCAAGATTTACTCTAGTTATCTGGTAGATGTTGTTAAGTGCTGTCAAGTAGATTTCAACCTACAGCGACCCTGTATAGACAGGGTTTCTGAAGAGTGGCTGGCCAACTTTGTGGTTCAAACCAGCTTTGCAGGCATTAACCCACAGCGCCACACCAAGACTCCATAGCCACTTTGAAAATGTTTGTTAGAGTGAGCCTTCCCTACGTAAGGGATACAATTACATTTTAGGCTCAAGACTGCTTATGAAATTCCTTGTCTAAATCATTTACAAATGTGGACTTTGGTTATTAAAGTCTTTTGGAAGATTGCATTTTCATCCTAAAGCAGTTTGAATAGAGATCCATCTCCCTCTTTTCTAGGAAAACACAGTCTTTATAGATACCAAGAAATTGCCTATAATCAAGAAGAAAGTGAGGAAGTTGGAAGATCAGAATGAGTATGAGTCCCGATGGTAAGGAGAAATCTTACTAGAACCACTGCCAACTGTTTGCTGCAGTGCTTATGCTTTTGCCTACCCACAGGGCCAGGGTAGGTTTTGGAGACGGTGTAACAGAGTACAGGTTACATTTCAATGCCTAAGTCCATATGTCAGTTTCACCAGTTAACTAGCTCTGTAACCGGAACTGGGTTACCTCACCTCTCTTTGCCTCCTTTCCTGAAATGTTGATGTGGACCTGATCTCAAACTTGTGTTGAGGATTAAGTGAGAGAAGAATGTAGCAGTATATGTAACGGTTCGTTTATAGTAGGTGCCTAGTATAGGTTGGCTTTTCATGGTCATTGTGGTAATTAGAGAAGCTTGGTAAAATACCTCAGGTCATCTTAGGTTAAAATTTTTTTACCCATAAATATTTCTCTATCTCTAAAATGAGCCTTCCCCCTCAAAATCTATTTAAAATTTTAATTCTGTAATATCAGGTATCTAATTGATACTCAATTTTCCTATTGCCTAAAATGTCTTTTGTTGTTGTTTCTCTGCTTGTTTGAATCCAGATCTAAATAGGGTCCAGAACTTTCAGTTCTTTAAAAGAACCCCAGCCCTGTAAGCAGGATCTATGAGGTGGTTTCAAAACATTCATGGAAAAATTGGGTGAAAAGATAATGGAATTTTTTCATGAACTTTTGAAGTCCCCTTGTATTATGAGTATAAGAAATGTGCTAACGTTTAATTAGGAAACAACTTATATGAAAAGTATCTTTAGAAATCATTACCCTGCTTTTTGTCTGTAATTTGTTAGTAGTGTACTTGGCTAATCTGGTAACTCAGAGGTTTATCATTGTAAACCTATAGAAATTATGGGAATGTGGTGGCTTCAGAGGATGAGCAATGAATTGTGAACCACAAGGTCCAAGCACACCAGCCGCACCTTCAGGAGAAATAGGCAACTTTCTATTCCCAAAAAAAGATTTAAAGCCTTGGAAACCCTATAGAGGGTCTCCATGAGAACCAACTCCACAGAACTTAACATCAGCAAAAGTGTACGCTATTGTTAATTACAAGTGGATATTTGGCATGGACACTTTTCTAAATCTAAGAGCGCTTGTAAAATAACACATTTTACATGTTTCTATACCTGTTAATTTCCAAGCTTTGCGAAGAAGCCATGTCATACCCCTTAAAACTCTGAAATTCACCTCTTGATGTTTAATTTGCACAATTTTTCTCCAAGATCTCATTGTTAACCAAGTGCATTTCCTAACTCTGAACTTCTCAGAATTTCTCATTCATTCAGTTTATATTGAAAGACACTCAAATCCTAGAGAGGTGAACTGACTCTTCAAAGATGGGTGTACAGCCAGTCAGAAGTAGAACCAGAAGCATAAGCCCAGGCCTCAGACCTCCTGCTGTTCTTTCTCCTCTGTTGCCCTTACTTTTTTTCTGTGGAGTCCTTGGGCTTCTCTCTTTGTTCTTTACTCCAGTGCTGTGGTGCCGCCACAAGAGCATTTAGTCTGTGGTACAGCAGTAACAACCATTTGCCTTATACTTGCTGTTACTCTTCTGTTGTACTCAAGAGCGGTAGCTTAGGCTTTTATTCTCAAGATTCGTAACTCATCTATCTATTTTCACCTTAACTTTGTTTCTTTAGCCTTTGGAAGGATGTGACTTTCAACTTAAAAATCAGAGACATTGATGCAGCAACTGAAGCAAAACACAGACTTGAAGAAAGACAAAGAGCAGAAGCCCGGGAAAGGAAGGAGAAGGAAATTCAATGGGAAACGAGGGTAAGCTTGCTTTGGGGAACCTACCAACTGCTATTCCCCTGAGCTATATAGAACTTGTTCATTTTTAATAAGAAATTCCACTATTGCCAACACTGCTTAAATAAGCATAGGGATGAACAAGATGAATCCTGGTCACATCCTGAAACTCATGTTACTCTAATTGGAGGGAGAAGATTTTTAAAAGATGATATAGAAGAAAAAGTAAAAAGCAAGTGTGTAACTGAATCCTCCTCCTTTTTTCTTACAGTTATTTCATGAAGATGGAGAATGTTGGGTTTATGATGAACCATTACTGAAACGTCTTTGTGCTACCAAGCATTAGGTTGGGAAATGTAAAGTTTATATACCTGATGACCAGGGCAGGAGGCATAATTAAGCAAACAATCTTCCTTTGGGAGAATCTGGTTCACTCCCTTCTTATTGCAGTGGTCCTATCTCAGGGATACTGGGCTTTCCAATGCAGATGAACAATTAAAGCAAGAAAAGCTTCCTGTTTTTTTCTCCTGTGGAAGTTGTGTCTTCAGTCCTGAGAAAAAACTGAGGCTTTGAAAACAAGATGTCTGATCCTTCTTCAAACCCCATGCTTTGAAAGCATTTATAAACCCCATTCTCCAACTCTGCACTCTAGTATTGCTGTTGAGATATATGACATTTCCTAGTTCATATAATCTTGGGTTCTATATACATATATACATATATATATATATATATACATATAAAATATACTTGATGCCAGATTTTGCATAATATTCATCTGATGTAAATATTGATTCCTTTGTTTTAGAAAACTAGCGCAATGTATTAAAATCAAGTGTTAGGAAATTTCATGGTCTCATCATAATAACTTTTATTTTGGAATTAAACTATTCAATTGTATTTAACTCTGGACCACACTTTAATAATATTCAGTGCTTCTTAAGGCTTCATAAAGTACTTTTTCCAACCTTTCTTTTTAGTATGTTTATTTTTATGGTTAAATGTCAAATCAGTCATTTTTCAGCTTTGATTATAGGAACTAGCTTTTCACAGGGTATTTCGGAATTAGTGGAGGAGTGTACGTCCTTTTCTGCACTGCTTCCCTTAACACTGTTTAATGGATACTGTGGCTTCAGAGTCTTCACTGAACTCACATAACACATGTATGGTTACCACCACTTTATCCAAAACAGTGGATAAAGAAAGGAGCCCTGTAGGAGAAAGATGAAGCTTTCTGTTCCCGTAAAGATCTATAGCTTCAGAAACACTGTACAGGGTTGCTATGAGTTGCAACTGACTTGACAACACACCACCACCACCACCGCCATTGTCTTAGAGGAAAGGGCTCCGGAAGAGTGTGTTCGATGCTGTTTTAAATATACGTAATAAAAAGAATGCGAAAGCAGCAAATGGTTCATTCTTAAGGGAAATACAGATACAGAGCTGTCTTTATTTAAAAATACATTAAAAAAGCAAGTATTAATATTAGTACCTAGCATCTAGGTACTAATAACTTAACAGTTAAATAGGGCTTTCTCAAGGCTAGCATACAGAAGTGGATTCTCAGCTGAGAAGACACAGGACAGGGCTGCCAAACTGCTACCACAGCTTTTGGGGCACAACTGGTCCACACCTTGCTAATTTCTCTCTTCTAGCTGCTACAGAAACCCTTGGTCTGTTAGTCTCAACAGAAAAGCAGGAAAGTAAATCAAATTCTCTGATGCCAGTGCAAAAATTCAGTAGAAGATTTGAGGCAGTAGTAGTGTGACTTCATAAAATACAAACACATTTTTAAATACACTTTGCTTCAGGCCGAGACTGCAGTTTATTTGACTATTTTGTGGTAGGGGAGAAGGTTAAGTCTTGATGTGAAAGCCCTGATGTCATTAATGGGGATGGTAGAATCTGTCAGCACAGGAGAGGTTGGCAGGTAGGTGAGCTGCATCACTTCACCATAAGAAGAGTTTGAATCCTCACCAGAAGGGGTGTTGTCATCTTCCAGCTCGTACTTCCCATACCCAACAACCTGAAAGGGTCCAGAGACTCAAGGTGAGAAATGTATTGAACAAAGGCCTGTTTAAGCTCCCTGATAACCCCATATTAGCGAATGAATAAAAGATGTAGCTACACCCATACTAACCAACCAATGTAAGTTAACCATACTCACATGAACGCTAAGCATTTTACTTCCTGGTCCTCTGTGAGTCTTGAACCAGTTAACTAGGTCTGATTTTGAAAATGACTTCAGTGCTTCAATCTTTATAAGGGGTGAGGAAGATAAGAAAGAGAAGTTATAAAGACTAGAAGCACCTGGAAAAGTATTTCTTAAATATAATTAACCTCAGGCAGACCCAGGTACTGGTCAACACATAAGTATATACCATTCATTCTCCCAAGTCTGAGCTTGTCCCCAGCCTTCTAGAGGAAAGTAAAGTCTCTTAACATACCATGTTTCATAAAAATGATCCACCCTGGCAGATGAGCAAGAGGAGGTAGCAGGTGCTGTAATTACAGCTGAGTACCATACACTTGAGCCAGAAACCCAAGTCACTTTAATGTCACCTCTCAGTTACATAGTAACTACATACTCTGGCTTGAGAAAATACACTAATTTTTTTAAACAGGTGAAAGAGACTGCTTCATCTGTCCTGTTAGAAAACTACGTGCCATAAGATGAGCTGGGATGCAGCTTCTTATTAAATTAACTGTCAGAGCTAATTATATTCTCCAGCAATTACAAGACCCAGAGCTCTTTAGAAGCATTTTACTATTTTAAGCTAGAAGTTACCATGTGATCTCTGCCTTTAATCATTAAATTTGGAGGAACTCCTACTAAAGACCAGATGTTATCCATTTAATTTAAACTGCTTTTTTTTTTTTTTTTTGAAATGAGGCGGGGAATAAGCTTTAATATCCTGCTCACTTGGCCAGCCTAAAAACTCAACATTTCATTAATCAAGTCAACAAATGGGCAAGTAAGCAACCAAGCCAGGATCAAGGCCAGAGGTTTCTTCCACATAACATTGATTCTGTTGAATTGGGAGTCCTTGCCAGTCCCTTTATGATCTGTTAGGTGTTTGACTCAGAAAACTGTTAATACCTCATGGGCAAGGCGGTCAAAGAGATACTGCTGTGTCACCACTTCATTCCAGTTCCTATCCACTTCCTCCCCAAGGTGGGTGTCCTCGCACTCTTTCAGCTTGATCAGAGCTGTGACCTGTTCCCACAAAAGAGAGATCTTCAGGCATGGCATCACCGAGCACACGTGGCCCTGTACAGTCTGGCTTGTGACAGACAGTGCACCCTTCTCTTAGGACTACCAACATTGTGAGAGATGAAGTTTGGGAGACAGTACCATCAGATTAAGGCGAGGCTACAGGGTGCCAAAACTAGCCAGTACTGGGACTTTTAAGACTGGTGTCCAGTGCTGAGGGCAGATGTAGGCTTGTATGATCACCTGGGTGTTAAATGCTTCTTCAGTGAGGTTCTCAATCTTCTCCTCAAAGCTAGAAAGAAACTCTTCTATCTTCTTATCAACAACCTCAGAGCTAAAACAAAACACCTTCAATTAAAAATCATCAGCAAAGAAAGCAGTTAATGCTAAGGCATATTCCCAGGAAAGAGGATGAAGTGTTTTCTTTGCAGGCCTCCATACTTTGCTCCTAAACTGATGGAGAGAAGAGAAAGGGAAAGAATCCTTATCCCACTTCCGGCCAATTTCCTGGTATTCTCATACTATAGCATTGACAGCCATGCTTGACCATTCCAAAGTTTGGAACCAATAAGGCATCACACTTGGCTTCCAGCATGAATGCCAGGTTCCTTGTCTGTCTTGTCCTCTGATCTACCTGACAAGGAGCACGGACAAACTCCACATAGTGACTACAGCACTAGTCAGGCCCTAGGGAATCAGTGGAATCACTGATCAGTCCTGGGTCACTACATCTATGAACCCCACACCCCAGCCAGTTACTAAATGACACAAATCCTGTTTAAAGTTTGAGCTTGAAGCACAAGGAAGCACATGTATCTCCAACTCTCTATATGCTGGAAAATATCCCAGTATAACACATTGAGCCCATCTACTCGCTTGCATACTTACTTGTATTTGGTTGCTTGGGTCCCCACGGTGACAGAGAACCCTAGAATCCCAGATGTGTTCCTACAGGTTGGGTAGACATGGTACCTAGAGCCAGAATGAAGTTTCTATGAGTTCAGGGGTTCACCTGGGTCCTGATTTTAAGGCACTAGAATGAGTAGGAAGGGTTTCTGAAGGTCCTTTCTGGACTTGGGAGTCCTGAAAGAGGAGCCACAAAGCTTGCCCCTAGACAAAAGCCTTAGAACAATATGTGCATGTATTTTTCATTCTAAGAGAACCACAGATTAACCTTTTCTCTTGCTAATCTTGAAACTCCACTGAACCAAAAGTTTGGGATCATAGGCTAAAATGCAAATTCGAGTTCTGTATAGTGTGATGGAGTTGGTTCCAACTCATGGATCTGGTTCAAACCCAACCTAGCAGCCCAGTGCTTTAATCCATGGTGCCACACCAGGGCTCACTGTCTAGTAGGTATGAATAAGGAATGAAAGGATCAGAGCTGAGAGGCAAGTTAGGATTCTGATAAGCCCAGACCCTTACTTGAGCTCCGTGCCTTTGTTAGCACACTTACCCAAGGGTCTGCTTGGTTCGAAGGAAGTCAAAACAAGGCTCTTCCATGTGCATCTGTAATTCAACACACTGGCCATCAGCCCAATTCTGCCTAACAGAGGACCACCATTTCTTGAGCAAAGTGCTCAACAGACCTCCTAAATCCAGCCTCTCCCCTATTTTCTTCCTAAATAGCCCAAATCCCCAGTCCACACTTGAACCAGGTGAAAATACTAAATGACCCTCTCTCCTGCCAATCACAGGTTTCTGACTACCCTAAATCACTAATCCTCAGGCAGAAGGGCCAGGCCTCTTACACAGCATGACTCCATTACATACTTACCACAAGCAGCTCCATAAGGGTGTATTCTCTCAGACTCCTGGCACCTGACTGAAAGGAGAACTGGGTCAGACCACCTGAAAAACTTAATGGCTTATAAGGTTTTTAAATATTTTAAATATTCCAGCTATTTTTGGCAATCAAGTATATCTTTACCACTTCCTTTTCATTCCCCCATGAGAGTTAACAGTACCTCTACTTTGTTTCTATAATCTGCCTCCCCACTAATCTGAAGATCTGTGAGAACAGGGATTCTTTGCATTCATTAGCACAGAACTGCAGACAGACATAAATCCCTGATTTGCCAACTCCTGCCTAGAAGACCCTAAAGGACACAGTCTAAAATGACACAAAAGGGGTAAAGCAAGAAATACTCGGGGATCTGGATCCATTCCTCAGGTGGAGAGAAAGTGATGTAACTTTCTGCAGCAAGTTGTATCCAAACAAGGACCCAAATCAGTTGATAAAGAAAAGTGCCTAAGAAACAAAATATTCAGGGACCATATCCTCCTGGATACTCTGGAGACTGGCAAAATAATGAAGTTAGAATAAAAGAGGACAGGAAGCCTACAAGGATGTTGCTATTGCATCCCAACATCAGGTACTTGAAGGCTCCTCTGATTCCTTCCTTTTTCACCAGATACCCAAAAATAAACCCACTGCCAATGAGTTGATTCCAACACACAGAGACCTTGTATTGGATTTTTCAGGTTGTAAATCCCTTACAGGAGTAGAAACCCTCATCTTTCTCTCCCACTAAACGGCTGGTGGGTTTGAGCCACAGACCTTGGGTATCAGTCCAGTACTGATCCTACAGCACCACCTGGCCTTCCCCAGAGGACAAAGAAGGCTAAAAGCCCATGTGCTCTGCAAGCCCTGAGTAGCTAGCATAGAGATGTCCTGTTTGCCTCTAAAAAGGCTGCCACAAAATCAGGTAAAGTCCTGGAGCAATAAAAGTTAACTGTCAAGGTGTTCTCTAAGAAGACGTAAGAAGCTTCCTACAAGAAGCAGTTTGTAATAGAAGGTACTTGTCAGAAGTTACCGATGGACAGCACCTCTCAGACATATTCCTGCAATACGAAGCCCTGTCTGAGACTTGAAGAAGAGCTCCTCTTTGGATTCTGAGCATTCACAGGCACTGGAAATGTGGACAGGGTTAAGTAGAGTTCAGCCTCATCAGTTATGGAGCAGTCAAGTGGTCATCTTAATTGCAAATACACTGAGAACCTGGAAAACGCCCAGACAAAAATGCTACAGCTAGAGACAGGTTCCACAGACAAGCTGGGCCTCCAGACAGAAACAAAGATCTCATACTTGAGCTCCAGAACTGCTGTGACTGAATCAAAGGGGTCATTAAGACTAGGAAAGGGTAGAACTTCACTGAAGAAGTAGTAGCATGGACAATGGCACGTAAGTTTGCTTCTAACAACCAGATTAGGACTGTTGGTGTTGTTATTAAGTGTCATAGACCCTGTACAGGGTTTCTGAAGAGCAGCAAGTGAATTTGAACTGTCGACCTTGGCATTCAAACCGACCTACAGTCCAGCACATTAACTCACAGCACCACACCAGGACTATAGACCCGGGCTAAGTAAGTTAGGATAAAACTCTGGCCCAGGGCCAAAAACAACAAAGTGAGGCCATGTTGTCCTTCCCAAACCCCAGAGTAGGAATCGTTAGAGCGCCTATCAGGAAAATGGCTTCCTCATGCAGCAGCTGTGTTAGCCCCTAAATTTGGGGATTCTGCAATCAACATGGACAAACAGGTTTAGGGAAAACCCCCAGTCCTGGAGTCCTGGTGTGGCACTGTGGATAATGCACTCAACTTCACGGTCGGCAGTTCAAATTCACCAGCTGCTCCTAGGAAACTCTCTAGATGGTTGTTTTGAGTCAGAACTGACTCAAAGGCACTTAACAACAACAACTAGTCCTAAAAGTGGATTATACTAGCTATATCCCACAGTAGGCTATAGACCAAACAAATTTTATTAAACTATGATCTTCCCACCCAACCCTTCCAGAAATGGCGTGGAAGGAGCACAGGATCTAAGAGCAAAAGGAAAAAACTTGAGTCTCTGATGGTATGACCTCAGACAAGTAAGAAGTGAGCCTCAGATTCTTCAACAATAATACAAAAGTGACAAATTCTACCTCTTGGGTGCGCTGAAACCTTTCATTGTTGTTAAATGCCATCGAGTTGATTTCGACTCAGCGATCCTGTATAGTTTCCAAGGAGTGGTTGGTGAACTTGAACCGCTGACTCTGAGGTTCACACCTTGCAGTCAGCACATTAACCTGCAGCATCACAGCAGGACTCCAGAAATTTTTCATTATGAGAGCTCATATGATATTGTCAGTCTTGGTGTGCTATAGGATGAGCATTGGACTGTTAACCACAAGGTGGGCAGTTCAAAACCAGGGTCGCTATGCGTCAGAACTGACTAGACGGCACTTGACATCTTCTGTCATTCTGTTTCCTATATAGTGATTGCTTGGTGATGTATACTTTTGTCTCATTTTCAGAAATGTCCTTCTGTTGCTTGGGGCTATGTCAGGGGAGCATGTAGAAATTGCCATCCATACTTCAAATTAGCAGTATAATGATTAATGCAACAATATCCCACTGTGACTGAAAAAGAATCTATTTCACTGACAAGAGCAATTTTTAAATGTAGCTGGTAAAAAAGGACAAACAACTCAAGCATAAAACTACAGAGGTAACTAAGAAGGTCTTGAGAGTTCTGCCTCACTTACTCCCAGGTACTTTGGACCTTCCACCAGGCTTTACTGCCCTAAAGACATCCATGAAATGGCTGCATACAATGGGACCAACTGACCTGGTAGTACACAGTGACTTCAGAGTTGGCATCACCCTTGTTCAGGGCTCTCACTTTGCATAGGTGGTGGCCACTGGGCAGCTCTACTACCTGGAACTGCACAGGCAACTCCCGTTCCAAGGGGATGAAGTTCAGTTTGCTGCAAGAGAATCAGGGTGAAGTTCAGTTTGCTGCAAGAGAATCCCTGAGACAGTATCTTTCTCTTGTAACCCCCACCCAAAAGCTGTTGAGAGAGCCAAGCATTCCAGAGTTTCTTTTGAAGTGCTCTGTTTACAGCATCCTCAAGAAAATCTACTACAAGAAATATGTCAATTGTGGGTTTAATAACAATTAACTGACTGTGGCTCAATGAATCTTACTGGTAACAACCCATAACTCCCAGAGAGGACGCTCAGACCAATACTCACTCAACAACATATTTCAGGAAATTCGTAGACTCCTAGGAGGGAAAGGAAAAGTAGATTAAGCACCTTCATGTAAAATTTTACATCAAATAGAACCAGAATACTAATCTTTTACTGGCTGAGGAAGCCTAAATAGCATGAAAGTACCAGGCAAGTCACTCATTGGCTTGGCATTGATTATATTTGCCAATTAAGTAGCTCTTAAACTAAACAGCTCCGTTTATGAACTCTGTTTACCCAAACACTTTTCCCATTGGATCAAACTTGTCTAGTGTCTGTTTATCAACGAGAATATGTCTTCTTTGACAACTGTGATTGTGTCTTAGAAACCTGGACTCACTTAACAGAATCTAGCATTGAATAAATAATATAATAACATTTGTTCTAACTGAATATTTCCCCTTTCACCAGCAGATTTCTATCTTCTTACATATAAAAATGAAGGAGCAAGTTGTTTTGGGCTGGGGTATTTCATGGGGCTAAGTACTCTGCACCAATAGTCCCTGCTTGGAGTCCTTGCTCTGTTCAGGGAAGTAGGTTTCTCTGTGGGTTGAGACTTTTCACTTTCTCTCTGTGGATTGATTTTGGGGCATGGGGAGTAAGGATGGAGAAGAAATGGGGAGGATAGTAGTCATAGCTCAAGTGTTCATTTATATATTGGTAGCATAGCAGGTTACACAAGTTCAGCAGTTCAAATCCACCAGCTGCTCCATGGGAGAAAGATGAGGTTCTCTGCTTCCGTAAAGATTTGCTGTCTCAGAAACTCTATATGGGGTCATTATGAGTCAGAACCGACTGAACAGCACAAAGCAGCAGCAGAAACATTTAAAGGCCAATACAGAACAACATATGGCATTAGGCAAATCTGCACGAGACCTTTTTAAAGTGTTGAAGAGCAAAGATGTCAGCTTGAGGACTAAGGTATTTTCAATAACCTCACATGCATGCAAAAGCTGGACAGTGAATAAGGAAGACCATAGAAGAATTGATGCTTTTGAGTTACGGTGTTGGAGGAGAATATTGAAAGTGCCATGGGCTGCCAAAAGAACCAATAGACCCATTTTGGAAGAAATGTAGCCAGAGTGGTCCTTGGAGGCCAAGATGGCCAAACTTCGTCTGTATACTTCAGACATATTGTCAGGAGGGAGTAGTCACTGGAGAAGGATATCATATTTGGTAAGGTGAAGGGTCAGAGAAAAAGAGGAAGATCCCTAGTGAGATGGATTGGTCAAGTGGCAGTATCAATGGGCTCAAGCGTGGCAACAATTGTGAGGTTGGCCCAGGACCAGGCAATGTTTCTCTCTGTTGTGCATAGGGTCTCTATGAGTCAGTACCAACTCGATGGCACCTAACAACAACAACAACAGAGAAACTGGGAGACAATGAAAGAAAATGATAAACTGCCAAAAGTTTACAGAGAGTGCCAAACAAATACTCTTGGCTGGAAGAAGACTCAGCTACAATGGCCCCACAGACACAGCTAACTCACTATCAGTCAGAACAAGCTTCTCACATAGCCCAAATCTACTACTATTCCTATACCTTCACCAACTCAAAACTCTGAGCATCATCCTAGACTCTTCCCTTCTCCCTTACTGCCATATCTACCAGTCAAGGAATTTCCGCCATCATTTAGCTCAACTTTTCCCCCATTTCTTTTGCTTAACTACAGGCCAGCCTCATTTTTACTTCAACTATTGTAAGCACCTCATAACTGATCTCTATCTTTCTTAACCATAAATCCTCTTTTAAATCCATTTGCCACAGAGTGTAGCTTGATACACAAGCTTGACATAAAAAGGGGCTTCAAAAAATTTGTGAAAAAATTCCATTATCCTCTAACTGTATTTTCCACAAACATTTTGAAGCCATCTTCTATAAACCTGATTTACATGTTATGCCTATGATGTTGTTTTTGTTAGGTGCCATCAAGTTGGTTCTGACTCCTAGAGACCTTATGCACAACAAAACAAAACACTGCCTGGTCCTGCGCCATCTTCACAGTTATTGTTAAGCTTGAGCCCATTGCTACTGCCACTATGCCAACCCATCTTATTAGGGGTTTTCCTCTTTTTTTGCTGACCCTCCACTTTAGCAAGCATAATATCCTTCTCCAGGGACTGGTACCTCCTAAAAATATGTTCAAAGTATGAGCAAAGTCTGGTCATGCTGGCTTCTAAGGAGCACCTGGCTGGCTTGGGTCCTGTATGTATGTATACTGCTCCCACCACTGCCCTCCTCCCACTGTTGTTATTGATGTTGTCATCAAGTTGATTGCAACTCATGGTGAACCAGAATGCCTGGTCTGTCTTTTAAGGAGTCTCTGTGTAGATTCAAATAGCCAATCTTTCAGTAGTTAGATCTCTAGACAATATTAAACTGTGGTTTCCATACATAATCTTCAACCTATACAATATATACAATAGCATATATTTGCTCCATTTCACTCAAAGTCCTAGACCATTATTGGCAGTCTCCTTCATAAGAAGAAACTTGCAGGACCAGCAGGGTGAGGTTTCCTCCTAAGTAGGATTACAGCAATGTTGGCCATAACTACAGCATTTCCCCTTTGGAAAAACTAATGCAATTCCAAGACCTCTAACTAGCTGCCTTCAGACCGCCTACAGCAACAGATCATTTCATACTCACTGTACTTGTAACATTCCCTTGTACCAGACCCTCAACAAAGAACTGGGACTTGAACTCTTTGACGAAGCTCAGCAGAGACTCAAGGGAAAGGCCATCCATCAAAGCCCGGTACTTGTCAATCATAGACCAACGGGAATATTCCAGGATTAAAAGTCGCACATCTCTGTACAGAGGGAAGAAGAAAAAGAAACTTTTTTGTTGTAAGAAATTAATTTCAAAAGTAAAAAAATATTTGTTCAACTTTTTATACATGATCTATTTTTTTTAAAAAGAGGCAATTTCCATCACAACTTAAATGTTACAATTACCTAAAAGCATTTAAAATTATATGCATAAATGCTTTACATTGCTTTGTTTACTGGTTTAAGTAGTCACTTACCTGTCTCAGTTGCAAAATAAAATGTTAAATATAATTAAAGTTGCCAGAGTCGTCAAGTTTATCCAGTCATGCACCAATTTAAAACTACTATGTTGGCTTGAATTTCATTAACATGTTATTAATCACTGGGGGACCATTATGGATATCAATTACAAAATAGTATATTAAGTCCAGAATCAGATTCCTCCCTTCTATTAACACCCCCTTGCACACTAAGCTGTTTGAATTTGGCAAGTTACCAGACATCTTTACTTTGATTTCCTTATTTATAAAATATGTGCAGAAATAGAAAACAAGATGGCGGATTGGGTGGACGTATAGCAGAGAGCTCCGCCAACAACAACACAGAATACCCGACCAAGCAGGCTCAGGAGATGGTCCCAGAACTCTGAACCACATATAAAGGAATACTTAGAAGGTTGGAAGGCTCACAGCTGGGGAAAAATGTGGCAGAAGCAAGAAATCTA